ACGACGGCATTTCAACGCGACCCTTTCTATCTATAGCTTAGACTGCTTGGTGGATCATACCGTACCTGCGGTTTGCACTTATCCTTCTCCTTCTGACGAGCCCATACAGCTCTACCCAGCTGTTTGTTCCATTCGCAGGCCCGCTCCACTTTTTGTTTGTCACTTTCGGTGTTGTACGGACCTTAAGAAAACCCTTCATTAAAATAAATTCACTAAATAATTTTTATTTGACCACTGTAAAACAAAGAAAATGAGACTTTGTGTACAGCAGGCGATCGCTCAATCACATCATTGCTAGATTAGTTTTGCGTTTCGTTTCCTGTGACATATTTGAACTATGAATCCAAATCTTACAAGGCACTTGAACGGTAGCGTTCGCAGACGCCTCTCTCCAGTCCAGTCCTCCATAGCTGTCCACGGTCTTCTCGGGTTGACAGTTGTCTGAAAGCATTCTGATTCCCTCTCCGATTTCATCCATACGTCGCACTCGATAAAGCCTAATGGGTGTCAGTTGTGGGTGTTTGGCGCAATTAAGTGGCGGCTTGAGGTGTTGTTTCCGGGTGCTTATGTCGCCGCCAAGAGGCGCTCTAAAGGGCAACGCGGCGGCGGTTTGCCGGTCAGCCAAGCGCGGAAATTGATGTATCTGGGCGATTGGGCCAATCTCGAGGCGCATTCATAATGGATTGAGGAACAGTTATGACCCGGAGATGAAAGCCGTCTCAATGTTGCGCAACCACGCCGCTGGAGCGAATACGATGGGATAGACGCCGTGTAATCAGACGCGCGTGTAAACGTGATCGGCTGGACGGAAGCGCTATGGAAATTTAACTCCTCATAGCTTTTAAAGAGGAAATGGTATGGCCATCAGTCATGAAGTTTCTCAATTTTGTCACGCAGTAACATTTCCAAATTTCGACCATCCGATTATAAATGTTGACTAACCAGTCTTATCGCATCCGACGCCTACGAAACCATGAAAGCACTGGCAATGAGCGCCACGACTGTCCACGAACTGCTCGAGACGGTTGAAGGCACCGTAGTAGCAGAGTGGAACACCTCCAGAGGAACAGTCTCCATTACAAGACAAATCTAAAACAATTCCTCTGTCAGACGCTGGAGATTTCTGTAAACACAATTGAGGATACGGTACCGTTTTGAAATACAGTAAACCGCTGCCATTCGCTGGGCGTTTCACCATTGGCGTCCAATGCTGACACCTTGAATGTGAAGTTACCAGACGGTGAGATCGCTACCTAGAATTGAGATTAACTAATCGATACGATGGCGGATTTTTGAAATCCCACCGCAAACGCTGGAAAAGAACCCAGGTGGGAGGACTTCTTGATCGAGTCTACCCTCTCTTTCATACCTGAAAGAAGGGATGACGATGCAGAATGACACGAGAAGGTAGAACCGCCTGCTCAAGTACCTCTTCATTGTATTTTTTAGAACACAATTAAGGACCACAAGAGGGACATTTGAAGAGGGGTCGAAAATTAGAGCGCCAGCAGACGGATTTTGAAAGTCTCACAAAATGAGCACATTTCGCAACTGACTAGTTGATGGCGGCGTTTTTTGTCATCTACAATATTCAAGTTCCTAACCCCATGGCAAAATCCAGCAAACTGACCTTGGTGAGGGCTACTGTTCGTCTTGCATCCAACTCCTCTTCGTAGTGCATGCTTTCGCCGCGCGCCTCTGGCTATGGTCAGTCGATACTTTTCTGGGTGACCATAAGAGGGTGATTCCCATTCGAAGATCTGATAGTCTTCAGTGGCAACGTTCACTCGTAATCCTCGCACCGCTGAAATGCGAGTTTACTCAGCCCTTTACCAATTTACAGAAAGTAATTTCATTTACGCGTGATCGGTCACAGATACGATTGTAACGTTGGCGAGAGTGAACAGCTGTGGACTACCGTAATCGATGGCGAGAACCTGTAAGAAAAAATCAATTACGGTAGCTGAAGGATTTTTCTAGGTTCACCGACCTCCATGCGAATAGGTTTGAAAGCTATTTGTGTGGTAAGTTCCTCCTTCAAAATCAGTGTACCATCAGAATGCACTGAGAAGAACGGCTGTTCGTGAGTGAAACTCAAACTGCGCTCCGAATTGTATATGACGGGATCGTTATCAGTTACTGAAAGACATGGTGGTCAGATTAAATAGTAACGTTGTGAAATTATTCCCCTTTAAAATTGCCATTCGCGTTGGGATCATAATAAAAGGCAAGAAAGTGGTCGTTGGGAATGAGGCCAAAAAAAAACTAAGGAAACTAGGGAAAGGAGGTGCTGGAGAAATACTTAACAAGGCAAAATTCGTTACAATAGCAACCCGCAACTTTATCCATCTATGTATAGCATAGATCTTCACCAGTTATGTATGATGGATGCTTTCACTGCAGTCCAGCGATTGTATTGAAAGAACATAAGACACCATTCAGGTGCTTGAACCACCACTGATGATGATCTTTGAGTGGGATGGACCATATGGAATGAAAAAGGGGGTTTCGGGAGATAGAATGACCAGAGTTCGAAAAAGCCCAGGTGAGCCTTTCAGTGATTTTAGCAGCACCGCAAAGAATTATTTTGATTCAAACTACATAGAGGTACACAGAGAGCGCCGATAACGGAGCAGTCTGAACAATACTAAATGAGCTGCAGTTCAGCTCATTCAGTTGTTGTTTAAAATTTATTTGATGGATCCTAAAGATTTTATGGTTTCGTACAGCGACGTCCACAATGTTTACTAAAACGATGAAACCGTGACACTCTGTAATCAGTCAACGTCTTAATTGAATGTTTATGGAAAACTAATGGCTTAATCTTAATCTCACGCAATTACTGGGCCGTAAATCAAAGCCAGACGACAGCCCGTCATTTAGACTTTCCGCCCTGGCAGAGCACCCTCAATCATTGCATCGTCTGCAAGTACGATGGAAATTCAAGAAATCACGCACCTTTTTTAGAAATTTCTGCTAATATGTTTTTTTTCCGAACTCTACTATAGCTTAACAATCTTTCCTATATTTCCCTTACTCCTTACACAACCCATATTACTTCAGCACCAAAACAGTCGGCTGCATACACAGAGATTTTAACAGGCTTGATTCAAGCTGAAGGCTGAAGAAGAGTTCAGGTCAACAGTTGGTAGTTGTTCTAGTGACATCCTTCGGCTACTGGTTACCCATTATATCAGCCTAAGCTTTCAGACATTCGTTTGTTCAAGTGCGAACTCACGGGAATTCGGAATCCAATACTGCAGATTGCGTACCGGCCAGAACACCATAAGATTTATATGGCCGTCGATTCACGTACCTCCATCTTTCCGACTTGCTCTCCCACAGTCAGTGTCACTGGCACGAAGAAATGGTACTCAGGCTTGTTGAAGGTGGGCGGATGGTGATTCCGATGAGTGACGTGAATTCGAAAATCGAGCGAATGCATTCGATTACCCGTGCACAGCCTAAATGGCCTCGTAGAGGTGTTTCAGATACTAAATCGAAGTTGAAAAGACCTACAAATGGAGCGTTCCAGTCAGATCGCCAGTTGGCTTCACTCCTGGTAAATCGCTTGAGGTATAAAACGCGTTCCGAGAAGATCTGAAAAAGAGTTCACCAGATTATTTGGAGAATTACTTTTTTCATGCTGCCAGTCACGTACTGGTACTCAATCCAGTCGACGTCCGTCTCCAGCTGTCCGAAGCAGTTTTTCATCACCTCGAAACGGCGCTGCAACTCGACACCCATCGTCAACCTTGTCCCACGACTGCGCCATCGTAAATGCGGAGTTCATAAACTTCTGAATACAAAAAAAAACTCCTTGAGTAATTATGGATGTTAGCTACTGTAAATATTTCACTCAATTCCGAGCACTCAGAAGACTTTTTGGTGACATAAAAAATTTCATTAGAGGAGGTTCCAGCACTCTTCCAACTTCAAGTGAAGTGCGGTAGACTAAGAAAAGCGGCGTGCATCTGTTGCGATGCTGTTTCTGACCCCTAGCAACTGAAATGAATCCATGAGAACCATTGTAACCAGGCTCAAGCTAAGTTGGGCATTCCGTGGGCGAA